AATTTATTTCTTGCATCCCACCTGCCCCTGACAATCAGCCTTACTGCCTTCAGGAAAGAGACATGACTCTTTATCATCATCATCATCATCATCATCATCATCATCATCATCATCATCATCACCATCACCATCATCATCATCATCATCATCATCATCACTATCACGCTCATGACACACAGTCTCTTTGCACAACCCACTTTCAGCCAATTGGTCTGAAATCTATCATTGATATTCCACACAAATTGTGGAATTGTGTTTGAAGGAAATGTGACCACATTTTACCTGTCAGGGAAAAAAGCATGGCTTCTAACAAAATCAGAATTTAAAGCAGAGACAGGCAAATGTTTGGTGAATGAGGGCCACACTTCAGGGTTTCAGGGGCCCTGAGAGTCACATTGGGAAGGGGGTGATGCAGACTCAGTGGGACCATCTCACATATGTGGGTGAGGCTGGAACATTCTGCATTGCCTGGATTAAAGGTTGGCATTTTTTCCCTTATTAAACTAAGTTTTGCCTATTTTGCCTGAGATAGAGATAGAAGATAGATAGTAGGTAGGAAGGCAGGCAGGTGGGTTTTTTCCCGTGTTAGCTAACAGGAGTTCAGACCTCTGGGTTTCTAAAGCTGTTTCTGGTTCAGCAGCTAAGCTGGACCAACCTCGACCAGGTTGGGTCATTTCCTGAGCTCCAGATACAGTCCTCAAAACCTGAGCAGGTGGTCTTCCCCTATTCCTGTAAAGAGTATATTTATATCACATGCAGAAAGGATGTGGGCAGAGCTGTCCACAGAATCCATCCCTTTTGTCAAAACAATGAAAACATGCTGTTGAAATGCAAGCTCCTCTGCTTTGAACATGCCTGCAGTGTCATGAAGCACGTACAGAAGAGGCAGTGAGACAAACCTTTTGTCACAATGGCACAATGCTGGTTTCCTAATTTGTTCCCCCAACGTGTTTACTTTATTTAAACTAATTTGTGTACTGATGTCATTATGCAAGTGATATAAAATGATGGCAAATGATGCAATTTGTGTTGTTTGTGTGATGATGCCACTATGGGTGATGTATTCTCCAGTTAAATGGATAATCAGGAATAGCACACACTCCCTCCCCCCAGTTTGACCATTAAATCAAGATTTTTTTCTCATAGTCACTCATGCCCTGGTCATCTCCCTTATGGACTATTGTAATGTGCTCTACATGGGCTACTCTTGAAAAGTGTTCGGAAGCTGCAGCTGGTGCAGAATGTGGCAATGTGGGCAGTTATGGGCACCTCTAGGACTGCGCATGTAACACCTCTGCTGCGTGAGCTGCATTGGGTGCCAGACTGCTCCCGGGTCCAATTCAGGGTCTTGGTTATGACCTTTAAAGCCCTTCATGGCATGGGCCCAGGTTACCTGAGGAACCATCTCATCCCCATTACATCGACCTGTCCCACCTGGTCCAGCAGGAAGGGCGTGCTACGGACCCTGTTGCCCAGAGAGTTCCGACTGGCGGGGTCCAGGCGGAGAACCTTTTCTGCTGTGGCTCCCACCCTCTGGAACATCCTGCCCCCTGAAGGGAGATTGGCCCCCATGCCTCTGGCCTTCCGAAAGGGCATCAAGACTAGGTCTGCCAACTTGCATGGGGACTTGAGGATGCTCTCTCTGCCTTTTCAGTTTGTACTGTAGTTTTAACTTTTAGTTTTAATTTTAACCTTCTTTAGTTTTTAACTTGTATATTTTTTATAAGATTTTATAGTTTCTTACTTGTAATGCTGCCTAGAGTCACTTGTACAATGAGATGGGCGG